TTTTTTTTTTTCCATTCTGTGCATTTATTTATTCATAGACAATTGAACAAATATCAATCAATCCTATTTTTCTGGTCCAGGCACCAGTTAGGTACTTGAAATCTATCAATGAATGAAATGCACAAAGATTTCTGCCTTCATGGAGGCTCATATTTTTAATGGAACAAGACAAAACATAAATTGTACAATTCATTGTAAGGGAATAAAGTACAATGGACAGGAGTGGTGTTTGGGGAGGGTGTAGGTTGCAATTTAGTTTAGGGTGATCAGGGAAGGGCTTACTGAAATGACATGAAGAGCAAAGATTTAAAGCCAGTGGCTCTCTGGGGAAAGATAATTGGATGCACACAAGGGAAAACAAAAAACAACAACAACAGCAACAACAAAATAACCCAGGCCTCATGCCATAGGCAAAATTAAATTTGGGGGTAAAGACTGAAATATAAAATGCAAAATAATTAATACTTTTACAAAATAATATAGCAGAATAACTTCATGACATTACACTGAGAAATATTTAATGGAGCGTGAGATCCCTATTTGTAAAGGAAATATTAATAAATTTGACTATATTTTATTGCATGAAAATCCCTATTAAGAAATTGAAAGCAAAAAGGTGAAGGGAAAAGATAATTTTTCATATATCACGGACAGAAAACTAATATCCAGAATATATAAAAAGCTTCCACAAATCAATAAAACACATGACAACCAAATTAAAAAAAAATAATAGGTAAAAGACTTGAATCGGTATTTCACAAAAATGTTATCCATATAGCTAATTGCTATATAAAGATGTGTCCATCCTTAATTGTCATAATTAAATGTAAACTTAAAATACATAGATGACTACTACAGGCCCACCAGAATGACACAAAATTAAAAAGGCTAAAAATGCCAAATGTTGTTCAAGATTATGGAATAACTGGAATGCTCATGTACTTACAGTCGGACTATAAATTAATATACTTTGGAAAGTAGTATGACTTTATTCAATTTTAAAATATATACTTCTAAATCTCACTTCTAGTTGCATACTAATATCTCATTGAACTGTGTATGAATAAAAATCAAGGGATATGTATAAGAATGTCCATAATAGTATTATTCAAAAAAATCTTAGAGAAAATCAAATCCCATCAATGAATGGAAAACTAAACTATGATATATTTATACAATGCACAACAATGAAAATTAAAAAAAGAACTACTACTACACACAACTTGCAGAGAATCCCCTAACCATTCTATGGAATAAAAGAAGCCTGATAAGACCTGAATGTGAAGACTACATAATTCCATTTATACAAAGTTCAGAAGTAGACAAAACTAAACTAGTTAGACATATATAACTAGTATATGATATAACATTATATATATATGTGTGTCTGTATATGTGTATAAAACAGTAAAAAATTTCATGTCATCAGAAAAAAACATTAAAATGTCAAACAAAAAACTGGAGGGGAAGAACTAGAGACTTTGAATATAGAAAATAGGTTTGTTAGCCCCTTGGCAGCTCTGGCGCAAGAGAAAACCTTTCAAAGGAGAGCAAAGCGAAGAATCAGTAGCAGTCTGAGTAAGTGTTATCAAGAGTAGGATTGGGGTGGTGCCTGTGGCTCAAGGAGTAGGGTGCTGGCCCCATAAGCCAGAGGTGGCGGGTTCAAACCCAGCCCCAGCCAAAAAACTGCAAAGAGTAGGATTGATGGGCGAAATTAATCCAATTAGAGCAAATGTAGGGAGAAATAAGGGAGAATTACTGAAGCCAGGTCTTGGAATAGGCAAAAAAGGGATGAAATCCAGGTACCAAGTAAGTACATGGGCTGGCATTAAATTGCAGCATAGCTAATTCATCTATGAAAATCAGCAGGTTCTACCCCAAACGGATGCTGGAAGTGAAATCTATGAGGCTGTGGTGCCCTACAAATACTCTCTTCTGATAGCTTCTATTTTCTCAGTGAACTGGGGAGCACAGACCTTGGCGGAAAGCAAGAACGGGAAAACTGTCAGGAACTGAGAAGAGAAAAGAAGGTGTAAAATGGTCCTCTAAACAAGTAGAAAAGTGGATTGGGGAGAGAGAAGATACCCACAGGTAGCAATGAGGGTCCTCTTCAAGTTAGTGGACGGGAGCGTAAAGCAAGATGAGTTCCTAAAGTGTGTAATTTTCTCCAGCTCTGTTCAGCTGCCCAGAGGCAGGTTTTGATCTTAATACACACAAAGGCACACACGCCCCCAGGTACAACACATACACTGTGAACTATATTTGTTTATACACACATGTACAGAGATCTGTATATATGCACAGGCTTACTTTCTGTCTCATATCATGAGACTACAGCTGCTAAGAGCTAATTTGCTTTTTCCTCTTATACGTCAAAATAGTCCTGGTCTCCAAATCATGCTAGCCATATAGTAGATTAAGACATATTTGTTGAATAAATGAATGAGAACAGCTGTTAAAAGGCCTTAACGTTTTGGTTTCAAACAAAAAAGAAATTCTACTACTCTTCACTTAAACATCTGATTTATTTCACACAAAAGGTAACTGGAGACTGCCAGGAAAACGGAGTTAAAAACCAATGAACCAAAGAGGCTATTGCAACTACTTCTGTTTCAGTCGCAGCACTCTCAATACTGTGCAAACAAAACCAAACATTCAAGCAAATTAGATGACGAGATTGACCTGATTTCGGCTGTCATCCATAAACACTGATTT